GAAGAACAAACATGGGGTCCATTCAAAGAACACACATGTGGTTCATTCGAAGAGCACACATGTGGTCCATTCGAAGAACACACATGTGGTCTATTCGAAGAAAACAAGTATTAAAAACAAGTTTTTCTTTGTCTTTTGATGAGTCTGGTTTAAGATGCTTGCTGGACAAAGTCCTATGTTCTTCCAAGCCTAAGCCTCCTGGACAATTACATTTATGACAAAAGAAGCTTCGACTGGCCAGAATGAAGTTTTCGATTGGGCCAGTGGGGTATTTTCAGAGCCAATCAAAGAACAATGCAAATAGGGGCTCAATCGAAGAAGCCACAATAATGAAACCCAGAGCCATCAAAAGGAGCAATTTAGATCCAATCGAAGAACAAAGCGTGGAGGCATTCGAAGAAGTCAGGGACTGAAACATGTCCAGGTTCAACCCAAAACCCAAAAGGGTAGGAATTCATCAAAAATGGAAATCCTTTAATTTGTCTGATTTTCCCTTCAAATCCTGGTTAATGGTTGTCCCTTGCCATTTCCATTCCCCTCACACCCCTATAAGTACAGGCCTAAAGATACATTTCCAGAGATGGGAAAAAAATGAAAAAAGGAGGCAAAGAAAAACCATTGATCAACCAAATGGATTCACTGCCCATTAAAATACTTTTGCCACACTCATACCACCAGCCAGACACGCACACGCATTGCATGCCCACAGGAAGTCACCTAGGCCTTTACACGAGCAATTCCACGCCCAGGTTCATAGATCAAAGCATTTCCAATTGGTAAAGATTCACCAAAATCAAAAATGTATTTCTAGGCCCTTTAAATACATGTTGTTTGTATATCTGTGCTGCTAATGTCATTTGTGTTTTTATGAACATATCATACGCAAGGTAACATGCAGGAATAAAATCATGCCATCGAAAGGCATGATCTGGGTTTGCCTTTCAAAACTCATGATATAGGCAGTTTCAAGCCTAAATAAGCTTAGACCTGAGGGAAGAAGATTCGAATTAGGGAGAAAGACCTGGGTTCGATACCCGGGTCCTGCATCTTTATTGTTGCTAAATTTTGTCTTGTAGACCCAGATCAAAAGGCAGCTTCCTCCCCTGGATTGAAAAACAAATATCTCTCCCTGGATCAAAAAATTATATCCCTCCCTGGATCGAAAAACCACATTTCTCCCTGGATCGAAAAACCACATTTCTCCCTGGATCGAAGGATAACCCTTTGTATTTTCATTTTTTTTGTTCATTTTTTTATTGACTTTATTATTTAAATCAACTTTAAATCAAAAAATCACAAAAATTAGGATCTAGTCTTTTTTTATTAAAATTAATTTCGTTAATTAATTATTAATTACTTAAACATTTTTATAAATTAAAATCAAGTAGATTTAGATTTTTATTTTTACTTTTATAAAAAACATTCAAAAGACATTTTTTAGGATTTAGACGTATCTCCAATTCACGCGCGTTTTTACCTTTTGCATTTTTATTGTCATATTTTTGTATATGCCTACTGGATGTAATAGATTTAAACTAGGAGATTTACTTCTTTTCCCCCTCATTTTTGGACATGTAAATAATTCCCCCTCCCCGAAGCCATGTAATAGCGTAGGATTTACTTTCTGCATTTTATATTTTCTATACAATATTAACTGCTAGATGTATGTAATAGGATTGTATGGCAAGAACATAAAAAACAAAATGTTAGCAAACCTAACATTTGAAGATAAATAACTGAAACAAACACACTTGGACATGCACACCTCTAGGGTTCTCCCACTTTGGTTGCCTTTAGAAAATAGTCATCACTCTCGAAACGTGAGAGATTTTAGTTGGTACCCTCTGCTTTAAAAAGATCACAAGTCCCTCGATGACCCTCTCGATGTTGCCTTGGTAAACAATGATCTTAATACCCTAGGGGAGTTACTAAAACTTCTTGCCAAGTTGCCTTCGTGACTATAAAATGTCCCTTTGAATGTCCCTCATACATCCAAAAGACTACGGCTAACTACTCACTAATAGTAGGCTAGCACTGTCTAAAGGAAAGGAGGAAAAGAAAGACCCTTTCGAGTAAAATTAGATAGTTCCTAGATGCTTGCTCAAAAATAAACTTTTTACACTTACACAAAACAATTTTCAAAAAAAACCTTTTCAAAAATGCTTTATCAACACTCTTGAGGACTGATACAAGAGTTATCATAAAGAAAATCTCCGCACTAAGGCTTTTCAAAATACTTTTCAAAAACACACAAAAACACAAGGTATTTCAAAAATGAGCTAAGTATTTAAGAGCCCGTAGATAACTATGGATGGAAAGGGTGCTAACACCTTCCCTTTCCATAATCTACCCCCTTACTCAGAAAACTCTCGAAAGGTCTTTTTCTATTCTTTTCACCCTTTCCTTTGTTGGATAAAAGAAAATTCGGTGGTGACTCTTGCTTACCGCAACATTTGCAAATACAAACGCAAAAAACTAGTATAACAGTCAGTTCTCCCACCGTATTACAGCATTGTTGCTACGCTATAAGTCTGATCTCTTCCTTGTATTGGCATCACACTATGTTACAAGTCCGATCTCTTCCTTGTATTGGCATCATGCTACCTTTCAACACTCGTCGTGTCAATTCCTAAACATTCGTCATGTCGTAACCCATGTTTTCATCTTAGAACTTGAGATTGCCCATTGGCTAGGTTCTTCCTTAGATCACCTTAGAAAATGGGATTTCCCATTGGCTAGGTTCTTCCTTAGATCATCTTAGAACCTGAGATCACCAGTTGGCTAGGTTCTTCCTATGATCATCTTAGAACCTGAGATCACTCGTTGTCTAGGTTCTTCCTATCAATCATCTTAGAACCTGAGATCTCTCGTTGGTTAGGTTCTTCCTCAGATCATCTTAGAACCTGATATTTCCTGTTGGCTAGGTTCTTCCATAGATCATCTTAGAACCTGAGATCGCCCGTTCGCTAGGTTCTTCCTCAGATCATCTTAGAACCTGAGATCGCCTGTTGTCTAGGTTATTCCCATAGATCACCTTTGAACCTGAGATTTCACATTGGGTAGGTTCTTCCTATCGATCATCTTAGAACCTGAGATCTCCTGTTGGCTAGGTTCTTCCCATAGATTTGTCTTAGGACATGAGATCTCCAATTGGTTAGGTTCTCCGATAAATCACTCTCATATTTCACCTTAGGATCGTAGGTCGCTCGTAGATGTTATTCGTCGTCTTTTCACACCAGACTTTGTCTTGTATTGGCATGACGCCATGTTACGAGTCTCTCCTTGTCTTGTATTGGCATCACGCCATGTTATAAGTCCAACCTCCGTCTTGTATTAGCCTCTGTTGCTACGTTATAAGTCCAATCTCTGTCTTCTCATCAGAAAACGAAAAAAATTATTTCCCCAACAAAAATAAATATATAAATACTCACACTTTCTTTCAAGACAAATTTTTTGCATTGATATTTAATCATCTTCTACCTCGAACTTCCCAAAGGCACGTGCCAATCGTACTGTCAAGTCTAAGACGATTAAATAGGGGCAACTGTAATACCCTAAATTTTTCCTACCCTTTCACTTTTATCTGGCTTATGCATTTTGCGCCTCTCATTCCATCAGCATACCCCCCCCCCCCATTAGGTCATTTAACACATCATGCATCTTTAGTCAGTAAATTTAGCATGGGATCAAGGGTATTGAAGAGTCAGGGTTTCTCTGTACTTTTAAGTTGTCATCTTAATTCAGGAAGAATCAACTGGTTTCTTCAACAATGAATGGTTTGCTGGTTTCTTCAACAGTTAATGGTTTGAAGCTAGGGTTGTGTGTTCATGGTCTTTATGGACTTATGTTTTCATCAAATTTTCATCCTGAGAAAAGTGTATTAGGGTTTTCATTTGTGGTGCTTAATGCTTCATCAAGATTCCAATTGAGCCTCTTTCCTTTGACGTTTCTAAAGCTTAGTTTTCATCTGAGGGTCTCCTAGAGAAGTGAATCACGTTGAACCCTCTTATGATTGATTAATATTGATGTCAAGAGGCTTTCTATTAACTGGATATAATTAATTTATTCATCAAACTAAGATTTTAGGCATATTCTCTAATCAGTTGAGGCTCGAATTGTAAGGGATGGTGGCATCGCATTCTATGATTATATCTTTTATTAATTCAATCCAAGATTTTTGGGTTAAAAGGCAAGAATTATGGTTTGTACGAAGAGTGGATTCAGTTTTCAATCCAAGATTTTTGGGTTAAAAGGCAAGAATTATGGTTTGTGCGAAGAGTGTATTCAAATGTCTATTGATACAATGAAGTTAAGGAGTTGTGTGTATAAAGTGCAAGACAACACGAACTTAAGCATTGAGTTAGGGATTACATTAAAAAAGGGATGTGTTGAAAGATACTCTATGAATTCAAGTTTTTAAGAATGGATCAAAGTGGGAAGAATGTTTACATGGCGTTCATACAAGAGAAGAGATGGATTCATTTATGCATCACTTAATTAATTAAGTTTTGTGGGTGGTTCCAAGATATGTTTGACTTGGAACGACAAATTGAAACATGAAATTCGCTGGTAAAAATAACCAATTCATTCACTTATTCATCGGTTTCATTCATCAAAGTTCATAAAGATCCAAATATTCATGATCGTTTTTTATAATATCTAAACATCAAGCAAGATTCATCAAAGTTCTATCCAACTTCAGATATTCATGTTTGTTCAAAGTCACAACTATGTAAATTCACAAGCCATGTTGACGTTATGCATTACAAGAATAATTACATAAGTTTTATTCTATAGCCTAAGTTTATTTTCACCAAAGCTTGAGGCATTCACACCAAAAACTCTCTACGCCAAATTTTTGAGTTGCTGGAACGAAACTCAAATCATACACAAGGTTTCCCGACCTTCATTCAAATCCCATAACCTCATATTGCCAAAGCCCTACTTACATTAGAAAGCTAGTTTTGAAACTGGCGCAAAATAGATTCCACATAACCAAATCAGGTAACATGCCTGCACTGCAATACAAAATCTAGTTCAGAAAACCACCCTATTCAGAATAAAATCGGAAAACAGAAAGAACCCAAACAACCATTACCAAACAAAATCATAACAGTTAACAAACTATAACTAACAGATTCAACCAACTTTTACTATAAAGAGTATTCTAACTATTTTTAAACGGAACTAACAAACAGTTGTTTCATTAACCAACCTATAACCAATCTCAAACTTCTTCTAACCAATTTTCTAACTGTCAAAACTGAACCAAAACCTAACTGCCTAACTAATTCCATAACTGTCCATAACATAACTAATTCCATAACCGCATTAAAACAGAACTTGAGTTCTCTATCAGCTCTCTAACAACCTCCAAAAACCCTAACCAACCTTCCCAAACAGCTTATACCAGATCCAACTAAACATAATCACCTAACTACCTTGCCCAACCGATTCAACTAACTTACCAACAAAATTCTAACAGACTTATAACAAAAAGAAGATAACAGAAAGATTCACAGTTCATTTTCATAATAGAAAACTGGGAGAAGAAAAGAGAGTAGGGAGTTGAGGATTTAGAACAGAAAAAAGTTGTAGAAAATTAAAGGAACTCACCTCTCTCTGAATTGCATCAAGACCTTCAACATCGTCTTCAACATTCACTCTCAATCTCCATTCTCTCCCTGCAACTTCCTCTGCACTCCCTTTTTCACCATCAACCTTAACTCAACCTTCAATTATCATCTTTTGTTCCCCATTATCTTTCACGGCCTTTTCAATACATAGCAACATAATCTCCATAATTTGGAATCCTTAATCTATATCATCATCACCTTTATACTGCAAGCATCTACAATTTCAACTATCTTTTTTTCTCTGCATCTTTCTTCAATCATCATCATCAACAGTTCATCTTCATCTCCTACAACCTGATCAGCAACACGACTCAATGAACATCTTCACCTCTCAACAACAATAAGCAACATCACGCAACATCAAGATTCACAACAACAAAAATGGGAATCAGAAAAAGAAGCAAGATGAAGACGAAAATGAATGAGGCTGAGGCAAATCATAAACAAAAAGGAATAGATGTGTACCTGAGTCTTCTGTTCACTTGAGATGAGAAGAAAATTCATGGTGTTGTGATGTTGAGACGGAACAGTGCGATGATAAAGAATCGGAGATTGCTCACGAACGTAAAGCACAAAGAAGAAAAACCATGGTGCTAAGACGGTGATGTATTGGTATCGACTGGCGCGTAAGAAGATGAGATGAAATCGCACCAAGAACGAGGAAGATCAGAAGAAGATGAGAGACGGTGTTGAGTTTTGATTGGACGTAATCAGAAGAGAAGGAGAAGAAAATCATTTTCACAGAAATTTGAAGAGTCACAAACACAAAGAACCCTAGCTAAATGCACAGCCTAAATATTGGTGTTTGTTGGATCAAAGCTCTCCTCAGGGCCATGGTATTTTTGGTATAGCACAAACTTATGAACAGAGAGGGGTTTATTGGACCAAGCTTGATGGGCCTTGCGCCTAGAACTGCTTCTGCAGAACCCCCTGGATCAGCTTAACACCCCCTTTGAACTCTTTACATTTTCATTTTATCTTTCTTTATCAATGTCCTTTCATTGGCTTTTGTTAATTTTATTGTATGACAAAATAACCTAAAAAATAGTTAGAATATTTTTAAGAAATATTTTAGAATTCTTAGGTTTCTCTTTAGAATTTTATTATAATTTTCTATTATTTTCATGTTCGATAATCATTTTTGTTGCCATTTTTAGCCAAGATTTTGTGATAGAATGTTGATGTCACTTTTGCAATGTGGAATACTTGGAGATCAATTTGTTCGATCACTTAGGTGAAGTAGCTTCTGTAGATTTTTCTCTTTGCTTGCATGGTTCTGAAGAGGCAACGGACCTTCTCCGTTAGGTAACATTGTGGCTTCACTTTTATTTCTCATTTCCGCACTTTACCGCTTTTCTAGAGATCATGAGAAGTAGGGCTTTACTGCTTTCTGATGCCATGAGAAGTAGGGCAGATATGTATGAAGGGGATCTCCATTTTTTATCATGTCAGGAATCCCTCTGGTTTATTTAAAGACCAGTTTAGGGCAATTCCGCATTGTGTGCATTATGTATGATAATTATGATTGTTTAAAATTTTGCACATATGTTTACAATTGTGCTTGTATAACGGGATGATGGTTTTAGGTCCTTTATTAGTAACCATTCCCAAGTCCTCAAAAGGAGGCGAGCAGGGAGGGTTAGCAATCAACCCCCGCAATTTCGTTTGTGTCATCCTTAGCTCGTGATGCACCATGAAGCTTCAGATTTGTGTCTGCTCTTGTGTATCGAGTCGTCAAGTGGGGAAGGGTTCCGCAATCGAACCCCCACACTTTGTCAGGAGTTCGCATTGGCCGATGTTGATACTCCGTGATTGTTCATATTTCCTTATGTCTCCTACCTCGATCTGCTATATCTTGGTTAGGTGTTCAGTCGCTTTGGATATCACATTTTATTTTTTTCATCTCACTCCCGCTTGTTTGTCTCGGGTGATACGCTCCCCTTAACTAAAGCATTTTGTTTCTTTTCCTTACTCTTTTATTTGTGTTCTTCTTCGAGCTTGCTAACTTTATCCTTGTACATACCATGTTCCCTTAGGATACACTTTCTCTTTTTGGATGCAAGTTGGACCATAGGTTGTGAACAATGCATGCTAACATTAGGTACACGTTCCCATTTTGTTAATCCATACCTTAGGACTACCATTGTATGATAACATTAGGTTAGAAATAGGCTAGTCTCCCTTTAGACTCTTTTCTTCCCTTTTTGCATATGCATCTAAAACTAAAACATTTTTCTTAGCAAATCCTAAAACATGCTAATCACACTTAAACCATTTTTCAAGGTAACAAAACACAAACCAATCAAATGTGGCATCTTTCCTCGAGGCGTAACTTGAAAACCCTTTTCAGTTAAGGACATGATTAATTTACTTCTGTGCCAACACGTAAGTCTCCAAAGGTCGAGTTGCGGCAGAAGCCGGAATTGATGTTGTTCATAAAAAACACAAAAAAACAAAACATGTTAGCCGAACTACGGTAGCTCTAATTCCTCAAAAAGGATATGTAGGCATTGGGGTGGGGCCCAAGTGAGTACAATTTTATTTTCCCTACATTCTTTTATCCTTTCTTTTACATGCACTCTCCCATCCTCGGTAGTAAACAATAAGCATAGTTTAGACATACCCATAAGATAGATAACAACAGTGGATACCGTAGAGTACTACGGGCGTGTGGGATGCTAATACCTTCCCCTCACATAACAGACTCCCTTACCCGATCTCTCGGTCGCAAGACCATGACTTCTCCCTTCTTAGGTTTTCTCGATGTTTACCTTTCCCTTCATGTGGGATAAAAGATGTTCGATGGCGACTTCATTATTTGATGATTTTCATTCGGTTGTTTCAATATCAACTCAGGATTTATAGAAAACCTTACAGGAGTCATGATACCTTTTTGTAACAGTATGCTTTCGAACTAACCCATGCATCAGCTGGGACTTTTAAGGGTTGTAGCGTGGTCTGGTTCACTGTTTAAGAAAAAAAGGATAAAGGCTCGAAATTTAGTTGTACCCAACCCATTTTTCGTGATGTTCTTCAGTCTTATGTTCAGTTAATTGTGCGTTTAGATCCCAATTGAGTTTGGAATCTTTTCCCCTGATATTCCGGTGACGGTTTGGATACTGAAAGTTTATTTTGAGGAGGCAGTCATTTTTTGTAATATTTTTGTTTTGTTGAAGATTTGTGGCGACCTCTTTTTTATTATCCCTACCTTTTTCCTAAACTGTTTCTTTTGTGATTACAATCAGCGGGATGCTCCAGTTTTTTTCTTAAGTCTCCTTCATAGGTTTTGACTTAGCGGGCTTTTCTTTTCAGTGACAATGATTGCTTATTTTAATGATTACGCGGAACCTATCACTGTCTTTTGATTTGGAAGGACGTCTTTGATACCACTCGTTGTGTATGAAGTGAAATATTGCGATTGAATGTGCATCTAAATTAATTGAGAAACTACCCTTCCCCAAGTTAGGATTAAAGGTTTCAATTTGTGTGAAAAAGAAAACCCCTACTTCTTAGGCTCAAAGGGGTTGACTAGGGATTATCTTCCTTCTAACTCCACTGTTCAGGATTTGAAACAACACATGTACATCGTTAGCAATGTCTATTTAAAAGCATACTGTATGAGATTATGGTATTGTTTTCGTCATCCTCCCTCCAAAGGCTTATAGCTTTTTATTGAGAGTTGAATATCACAAAAAGGACGTAAAAGCATGGTTTCAGAATAGGGGAAACGGAATGGATTAATTCAAGACAAACATATGCGAACATTAATGGAATAACAAAGTTTGACATGAAATAAGTGTTCGAAGTAATCAAAAGAAATTATAATTTGAAAATTCTAATGAACATCTCTCGGTCTGAACTTGTCACTTCATATGGTGTGCCTTTGAGGGATGGAAAAATAATTCAATCGGACCATCTTCTGTGAGCTCTAGCACTCCTTCGCCGATCAAGTCCTAAATCTTAATTTTCAATGACCAACAGCTATTAGTGTCATGCCACAGACTATTAGGATTGTACCTAGGAGATGCGGTGTTGGGATTCTGAGGAGGACCCTTCAATGTTATCAACTCCATCTTTAACATGTGTTGCAATACTTGAGTCGAGGACCTGTTGATTTTGGTGAATTGCCTTTTGGGCGTGTCTTGCTTATGCTAATTGCCTTGTCGTTGTTGTTGCATTGGCGCTGGATTAGAGATCTGCACTATCCTCATAGATTGGTTGAGATCACTCTTATTACAATCTTTCTGGTTATACACAGTACTGGACTCCTTCTTTCCATTGTATGATCTCTTCTGAGTACTCGAAGATGCAGTCCCCTGAATTTCACTGCTCCTAAGTTTATTTTCAACATGATCCTACATGAACATGTCACCCAATTCCCTGTCTGCCAAGAGAGGTTGATCATTGATTAGGCCCTAAGCTCTAGCAGCTTGCCCCAAATGGTCGTATCTCTCTTGATGAAGCTTTCTGATGAGAATCCTCAACTCTTCTTATCCCCGAGCTAAACTTTGGACAAGCGTCATCTGACTACTCATCTGGGTTCTCATCCTTTCCATCTCAGTTTGCAATTGTTCCAACTGGCCATCCTTGTTATCTTTTCAGGATTTTTCTTGGTCATGTTCCCAGCGAGGAGTGCTTTCAATTCTTCTTGTCCCTTAGATAGATTCAGGAACATTTCCTTGAACTAAGTATCTTGAGTTTTTAGATCTCTGTCATTCTGTTCGAGACCATTTTCCTTGCTAAAATAAACAACGATAAAATGAGAAGCATGTCTTGAGAATACTTGTTATGTAATGATATGCATGCAATGTTTTCAAGAATATCGCGGGGTAAACACAAGAAGATGTTTGAATTAAATTTGACAGCAACCTTGATTGAAGAACTTCGTCTCATTGAATGTCCTTCTACGAGAATCAAGCTCACCATGTCGAGTGGGTCATAGCCACTGACTCAAGACATCGTGCTTTGACGGCATTGGCTAAAGGAAAATAAATATCCTTTCCCCTTGTTAGACGTTTGGTTCATCATACTTTGGCAGCCTTTAGTTAGAGGAAAATAAATCCTCCTGCCCATTGCTAGGCGTCTAGTTCATGATAATATGTATCACAGACCCTTGAGATCCTTGAAATGGTTAACAACATGCTATAGTATGATGCTATGATGTTTATAATGTCATGTTTATGATTAAAACAAAATAACAAACACAAACAAGTCACACAAAGACCTTAGGTTTAAAGGCTTGCATGAGGTCTATAGGTAAGTACCATTTTGAAGTTTAGTTGGCTCAATCTGTACTAGCAATAGTAAACTGGTTCTAGTTATCTCATATCATTGGTCTTTCTCTCAGGAATTTTTTCAGCTTAAGCATCTGAATTGCGACCAAAATATCCCGAAATTCCAATCTCAATGAGTGTAGCATCGAGTATCAACCAACTTCAGTTTGCACCAAAGTCGTCCATCTCACTACTTTCTAATGGCCAAAATGCGTCAATTTAAGGTTCTGAAGGCCAGTTAGTGCTTAATGACGCTATGTGGAAGCCTAATGTTATCCTTGACTGACTCAAGGAACATTAGTACAAGCCAGAGTATCACACTAACGTAACTATCATATCATCCATATCGATCTACGTCGTACAACCTCCATGATTTATTGCTACTTACCTAATGGTGTTCCCCGATCCGGGTGTAGGATCTTTGCAAGAAAATACCCAAACAAAACCCTTAAATATAAAGCAA